TTAAGGAAACATGCATTGTATCTGTCCTTATAGCGGTGGGTCTCACTCTTAAAACCATGTCTCAAGTTCGCTCTCGTGAGTGCACATTGGATGATTCTTTTTCCTTTTATTCTTCTTTCTTTCTTTTTTTTTTTTTTTTTTTTCCTTTATCGCTTTTGTAACATCAAGAATTGGCATTATTAGAGGAAGAGTCCAATAGGCCATGGTTATAAAGTTGATGGGTTGTGGGGAAACTGACCACATGGAGAATCCGAAGTGTCAAATATCCAGTAGATGGGTCTGGGGTTGCTGGTCATGTCATCCCCTTCACATGGCTTTGGAGAGGAGAGAGATCTGATATCGATCGGTGACTTGTTCATCTATCAGAGATAAAAACTTTTCTTATAGCTGACTAAGATAAAAGCAAGTTGTCACACTCCATGAGAACTACATCCGGAACACAAAGAGATTTGTGTCTTAAGAAGAGACAGCTCCGATCCAAGTTGATGATATATATGTAGATAAAACTAGAGAATGTGATCAGTAAAAGTTCTCTGTAGGGTTTAGAGGGATCGAAGCTCTTTCCATCACAACACAATATTTCAAAAGGATCGAAGGTTCGCAATCTGGATCACCACATTAATTAATGATCCCCATCTCTCTTGCTTCATTTTCCAAGTACACCTGACCTGCAGGGCATTCAATTCATTTTGGGCAGCCCCAGATACTGGCTTTTGGGTGAGAATGTTTGTTTATTAGACAATATAAGAAACCAATTGCTAATGCTGAGTTGTGGGCTGATCAGATACTGATATTGGCTAGCTAGATATATATAAATAGAGTGGTCCTTGCCGGACTTTGGCTCAGTCCATGCTTGATGCCGAGACGGGTGAAAAAAGAGCACCGGATCGATTTGTGTCCATTTTTGCTGAGATAAGAGGAACCCAAGAATGAAGAATCGTTTAATTTCTAATTGCGATTGAAAGTACAATCATGAACAAATGTCTCGTGGAGTCTTCACATACAGTAAGAACACAGCTCATTGTTTGTTTTAAAAAGGGTGGAAATTGGAACAGATTCAGTCGCTCATGCAGGAGATGAGGATGAGAGGCGGCAATCATTACTGATTTGGTGACTCGGTTTACGAGCCCATGCACCGAAGAAGACTAAACCTCAAAACCATCTGCCACACGCATAACTTTTAACGACCCCACCCCACCCCACCCCGGTGCATCTCTCTCTCTCTCTCTCTCTGCTAGTCTGCTGTCCTCTGCCAAACTTTAACTTACAGAATCTTGGTCGATATTGCTAACCTTGTCAGGCAAAAGCCAAGGGGTCTTGGCTTTGGTGTGTGTTGGTCTCTCATTAGGGTTTTATTTGAACACCTCTTTATTTACCATATATTCATGGACACTGAATTCATGGTTAAGAGATCATATGCATCCTTTTCAGAGGAGAAAGAGCGAGGGGGGGGGGGGGGACCAAACAGGTCTGTGCTGTGCTGCCCTTAGTACATAAAAAGTCACTCAGGCTACTGTGCTCTCTTAGCTGGCTCTCTGCTCAACCATGCGAGCTGCTTAGTGGGGTTCACAAGCTAAGGGTGGTGGTGAGGTTAATGGGTCTATGGTACTTGATAGAGCTCAGCTCGTGCACGTACTGTGTAGCCACAGCTCAACATTTCTCATGGAACCCTGTATACGTGATAAAAACGTTGTAAGCAAAGTACTTGACATCTTTTTAACTCTCTCTCTCCTCTCTCCCCCCCCCCCTTTTGTTTAGGTTTTAGTCTGCTCTGGTTTCTAGTTTTGAGTTTTACAGAGAGAGAGAAGTATTATATATATTCATCAGTGTTTGGTTTAATTTGCACCTTATTTCAGTCGTATTTGAGAGAGTTTGTTCAAGTAGTTAATTAGCTTCTCTCCAGCAGCTAGACCATGAAATTATCTCCTCTTAATGGCAGTTTTTCAGAACATATCTGTTGCAGGTTTGCAGCAGAGAGCCGATCGAGCACACCTTCAAGTGTGACAGATCAAACTGCACCTACTGTCCTACTCCCGACATCCACGTGCGGTTCACCAACTCGTATAAATTATAGTTAGCTTTTTGATGGGTAAATCTGGCCCGTAATTCAGTAAATAGTTCACCTGTTTGATGGATACTTGATACTGCAGAAACGGTTAACCAGCTCTGGATTGGATCATGAGCTAACTGGGTGAAGGCAGCTTGACCAGGCTTAATAAACCATCTCCATCTAGCCTTATTTAAAGCTTAATTAAGAGCTGAGCGATGGAAAATGAGATAAGTATATATTCATTATGTGATGTACAGCTTGGTGGTAATAAGAGAAGAACAAGTTGAAAAAGCTGTAACCGAGTAGTAGCAATCAAATATGGGAAGGGTTTGGGCTTGCTTGCTTGGCTATTTTGGGTGGGTTTGTTGTTTTGTTTACCGAAGGATCCGAGTTCAGGTGGGGTGCAGTGTTGAGACTTGAGAGGCGTAGTAGACTCATCCATGTGCATCTGCATCCTTAGAGAATCCAAGAGAAACGACAGGAGCCGACAATTACTATTTGGGTATTGGTCCTATAGAATAAGACAGCACACACATATACCCTTTTCTTTCCTACTTTACTACCAAACTACCACTTCAGTTTTTTTTTTTTTTTTTTTCAAATTCTACTACAACTACTACTTCTACTGATATTACTATGAGGAGAAATTTCACCCAAGAAGCTAAAATTTAGGAACCCCCCCNCCCCTTGAAGTACAATAATGCTAGGTTACAGGACAAATGTGGAAGTCCCAAGTAGGATTATTAGAGGAGGAGTAGTCTAGCTTGATGAGATGATAATTAATAAATTGTAATACTTTGCTTTGATTTCTAGAGTTCTGGTCAATGTCCTCTCTGTAACTTCATATTTATTGATAAAAGTTGATGAGGAATATTTAGGAAGTGTATGTATGTAGGGAAGGGTTCTCTCATGACACTCACAGTGAAGTCCATTCAATCCTTTGAATTTTTCTTTTACAAAAAAAAAAAATGGCCAGTGCTTTTAAAATTGAAATCTGATTGGAACACATAATTTGTTCTTACAGATCAAGATAAAGAAAATATAGAAAAATAAAAAAACTAGAATGGTATCAAAGTCCTTAAATAAATTAAATCATTCCATTCAATCTTTTCTAAGGACAAGAAATTTGGCTAGAGACCAGTTATTGCCTATCCATATTTGTAGTCGAGATCCCATGGCTAACTTACAGTCTCCAGAACCCTAATGAAAGACCCAATTGTCTGTTGTAGTGTATTTAATACATCATGCCATACAATCCCTTGCAAGCCATTAATACAAGGACCTACCCCAGGGATGTTAAATATCAATTTCACATATGTGGATATTTAAATGTGGACTCTCAATAGACAAAGGGTACAATTATAACTTGGGAAAAAAGAATTAGGTTGTAACTTGGCAAATTCACAAATTCTTAGGACTATATCTATCACACTATATACATAAATAGAAAATAGAATGCAATGGACATTCACAAATTCTTCATTTTAAGGGTGTAACTTGGCAAATTCATCTAGCTTCATCGCCGACTCCTTTCAAACCAAACAGTTGAAGCTGCTTATTGCAACTTTAGGTTGTGTTTGGCATGCTTTCAGAGAATTAATTCTGAGCATGAATTGTGTGATTCTAATAATAAGCTTTAAATGTGAATGTATGAAAATTGTTGGAACTAAAGCTTCTTTTGGGATAAAAAATCATTCTAAAATTTAATTCTTTTTTAGCTCAAAAAAGATTTTTGTTTTTTTTGCTAAAAAATTATCATTCTTCAAATAGTGATTCTTTGGAACAGAATTTTAACCAAAGATAGTTTTACCCAATTCAAGAATTTATCAGAGAAAACTTGAGCTTAAACTAATTCTATATTGATAATAAACACTACAAAAGTTAAGGCTAGACCAAATTTCTTGCAGTTGTATTTGATGATGAAGGAGCTAGCTAGCCATATTAGTAACCATAATGTGATCTACCTGTCTGTCCACATTGGTATGTAGTATAAGTGCCTTACTGAGTACCTAACTCTCAACTGTCTGAAAGGAAAATTGAACCATAACTTACATTCTATGGTACAAATGACAAGAATAAGAGAGCTAGAAAGAAAGAAAATTAAAAGCTGGGTTTCAAGTTTCAACACATAAAATTGTTCAACACTTAATAACTTATAAAAGATAAGTAAGCTCTAGTTTTTAAGAAACCCATTTAATTGATCCAAATAGGGTCCTAACTCCAATAATCCTATATTGAATACAAGTATACCAAACAAAGATGACCTAATAACCATTGATCACTCCAAAATATTGGACCCAGAACACTTGTAATTAGGGTAATGCATATCGAATGTTGTGTTAAGCGATTACATAATTAACATCATCACGAGTATTGGCATGATAATCACAATAATTATATTAACAGCAGTTCCTTTGTTTTTCTTGTTTTAACTTTGTTATGTATAAACCACTAGTCTACAAGCTAGGCCTTATTCTAAGCTCCGGTTGAACCCAATTGGATGATGATCATGGGGGCTATAGATCTGCAGACCCTGCTAATAGATTCAATTTTTTTTTTCTTCAGAATGATTGCAATAATGCAATGAACTTGACATTTTATTCGGTAGCTCCTATATGTCTAGGTGGATTATTGATCATATATTGCAGGGATATAACTAGGAAAAAGAAGAAGAAAAAGAAAAGAAGGGAGTAAAGGAAGCGTAGAATGACTGCACTATTGCAAAGTATGAGATTTTATAAGATAGCTAGCTTTTATATCTAGGTGGTATATATATTATAGGTCATCATCAGTCCTAGGATATTAACAAGCATAAAAAGAAAGAAAATGCAAGGGAGTATAACCAACTTTTTTCAAGTTTCCAACATTAGCGGAAGAGTTTCATCCAAATCCCCAAAATAAATCTTAAAATGATGAGACTCTCTCTCTCTCTCTCTCTCTCATTTCCAAATGCAGAAATATGTTGCTTCCCTTACAGAGGCAGAACCATGGTTCAATACAGAAACTTAGTTGGATACATTAACCAGCTTTACCAAGAAATGCATTAATACTTATTTCCAGAATGGCTACTATTGAAAATGGTGACAGTGGCATTTTGGTAGTTATTTCAAACAAGAGGCGCAAATAGCCTACCTTAAGTGATAGATATAGTCCCCACGGAGATGGATCACCAGACCCTTAATGCGTAGTAGAAAATGACACTGCACTGCAGACTGTACCTATCTATCATCAAACCCTAATCTTCAATCATAATTCTTCATAAAATAAATCCTTCCTTTTGTGTTAATTTACAATCTTGGGTTTCTTCTCCACTCTCCTGCTGCTGCTCCTGGACTGAAAGCCCTTGTCATGCCATTGCACCTTCAATCAAACACTCGTGAATACATCAACCAGGAAATTTTCACTTACCGTATATAGGAATTTAGAGTGTATGGATATTACACACCGGATGAGCAAACACAAACCAATTTAACACTACAACTCTCATCTCTTTATGCTACAGAGGTGGTGGCTTTTGCCCCAGTCGAAGCTCTAGATCCACCTCTTCAGCCACCAATTCCTTGTCGTAGTTACGATTGTTGTCATCTTCCTTCTCATTGCGCATATAAAATGGAGGCCCGAACCTGCCAGAGCGACACACAGAAGCTTGGACTTGGATGTCTGCTGCAACCGGGAAATTCATGGATGGCGGACAAGATGAGACCCAATTGTTTGTCAAATAAGGAGACACAGAAAGAAGATTGGAGGGCGAGTCCATGCATCCATTTACTGACGACGTAGGTGTGAAGGCATTGGTAGGGCTTGGTAGAGGGTAAAGAAGGCAGTAGGCGCCATTGGGGACAAATTCTCGAGTTGGGATAATGAGAGTAGATGAGGAATTGGAAGATGAAGAGGGATCGGAGGAACCGGCGGTAGGAGATTGACGGAGTCTAGCACGGTCTCGACGGTGCACATTCATGTGGCCACCGAGTGCCTGGGCGGATCGGAATTCTCGTCTGCAGAAGGTGCAAGTGTAGGAGCGAGGGGGCCATGTAGTGCCCATGATGCTACCAGTGTCTTCGGCGAAGGCTCGCACCTCCCATGAATCATCATCGTCTTGGGCTTGCTGTTTCGCGTTCCACATCCAAGGGCTAGCGGTAAAGCTAGGGTTCGGTTGTTGTTGAGCCTGAGCCAGTTTCTGGAGTTGGGTCAAGGAGAGCAGACCAAGCTCTGCAGCCATGTTAACAGTTGCATTCACGAAAGAGAGATTTTTATACAAATTGGACAATCGATCAAGGAGAGGTGGATGGGTCTTTGAGGAAGAAGAGGAGGAGGAGGAGACAAAGAACCCTAGCACCGAGTATATCACCGTCGTTCTGAAGGAAACAATTGGAGTTTAGTGGAGACTGGAGAGAGAGAGAGAGAGAGAGAGAGTGGTATTATAATAATAAACTGCTCAGTGCTAACGCGTCCAAGCTATCTTTCTCCGTATAAGGACAACCCCTTACATTGGCTTGAACGCCCATATCATTTACTTGTTTACTGATTCAAATTACCATCTCTCTCTGAACCAACAACATAAAAATAAATAAGGCAAAAACTGAAGTTGCTGCTGCAAAGGAAGACAAGAGAGAGAGGGGTTGTAAGTACTTAACCTGTAAAAAGAACCAACTATCCTCTAGAAAATTAATGGGTTTTGTTTTTTGTTTTTGGGTTTTACATTTTCTCTCTTCTTCCTTTACCTCTTCCTTTTCTATTGGTGGGAGGGAGAGTGTCAAAATATGTTCTGACATTGCTTAATTTCTTTTTTTCCCTTTTGCTATTCTTAATTTCTTTTTATCTTTATGCTTCAACCTTGCTTAGCTGATCTGATCTATTAATTAGTTTTGTTAGATTACCACTACTGTAGTCTCTGGTTTGTAACAGTGGAACAAGGAGATTCATTGGCTTTCAGGCCATTATTGAGTAACTATTAAAGTCTCTTGGACTGGTTGGCTCTTCCAATGCCACTGTTTTTGGGATTTGTAATGTGATACAAGAGACAGTTTTCTGGGCAAGTATCTTTGTTACAAGAGGGATACCTAGTTTTGATATTATGTCCAGAACGAAGCTGTGTCCACACTTCTTTCACACTGTTTATGACTAGCAACTAGTTAATCACTTAATTGTTATTTACTAATAGAAACAAATTGGGAAAAGAAATCATGTGCCATCTGTCAAAGATGGCATGCTTTTTCTTTTTCAAGGTATGTTCTGGTAGGCACCACTCCATTCCAGACCCACACGTTTAGAAACCAAGAAATGAAATCATTCATTTACCCAAACATTTGAAAGCAAAAATGTATAATTTATAAGAGAAGAGAACAGAGATAAGGATGGTAAGTTGGTAGTGTATCTTTATTTCTTTTTTTGATAAGCAATAAAAGTAGGAGGATTGAAGATGGATTCAAATAGGATAAACCTAGATCCAAGTTTGATCTGTTAATATTCGGAATTGAATAAAATCTTAACGTACCGTTTGGTCTAGATTGGACTTGATGAGATTTGGGTATTGTATTTTGTATATAATGATCAAAATATTATAATTAAAATGTGCCAAGAGATGACTTCAATATATATATCATGAATAAGATGACTTCAAGATAACTTTTAGGAGACTTGGGTCTAATGATCACTACTCTAGTAAACATTTGACATTTAAAACAACTTGAGGTGGATCTGTATTTGATCCAATCTAGCTAAACTTGGATCGCCTTAATGGGGTTGGATTCAAATTTGAATTCAGACAAGTGGACAACATTTTTAAATGTGTGTATACAGAAATAGCACATTTAATTAATGCATTAATGCTTAAGAATGTTAAAGGGAGAACAAATATCAGGTCTAGTGGATCTAATCAGGCTTGATGGTTAGTTGGACCAATTAACATTTAGCACAAGCAATCAAACATAGGTTCCATCAGAGCAGTTCTTTGTTCCCAGAATAAACAACTATATTTAATTTGTTGCTTCAATTAGTGGAATGTCACCCACTAATTGAACTGGTTGGTTCAATAAGAGATTGCTGATGTGGGTGGGTGCACAATAAGAGATTGCTTTTGAACTGGTTGGTTCAATTGGGTATTCATTCCTACAATCCAAATCTCTGTACTGAGCCAAATGCATATATATAATATATTTCATTTTCCTTTTGAAGCAAAAAGTTTTCAATGGTTCAAACACGATACCCACTCCACCAATTTCTATATAAAACATAAAACATATTGTACAATTATCGAGAGTAAAAGAAACAGTGTGAAATGAAAGAAAAAGGAAAACACCCCATGTGTCAATTACATGAGATCTGGAAGTATTTCGGCCATTACCATAAACTGGGGGTTCAGTAAAAGAGACATATGGAGTAGCTAGAAAGGTCATCCCATGGGATATGGAATTGCTGCTATTTGATTATTGAATTGAAGCTCACTGATGGCATAACTTAACACAGACTGTTTGCCGAGAGGATGATGTAAATTAATAACCTTCAAAAGAGTGTGGCTCTAATTTTCACTGTCATTATTAGTACCGCTACTGTCGCATCACCAGCTATGCAAGAATTCCTGCAGCTGAGCTGAATGGTCAAAGTATTTCTCCATCTTCTCAGTCGGATCACACCTCAACTCATGGATATGTGGTCTGTCATGCACACGTCGGGTTTCTTTCCTCTTAATTTCTCTCTATTGTCTGTTTCTTCTTGTTCTTGTCAGATCAAAAGAGATTTCTCTTCATATGTTCTAACATAAAATTGTTCATTACTCCATTAATTAAATAAAGCTTTCATGCATGGTCTTATAATCCAATAAATAGACAAATAACTTGAATCCATCCAAGTAGAAAGAAATGATTTAAGGGTGCATGGATATGGTAAAGCAGGATTCATGCATGTAGCTATAGCTAGCAACTCCACATAGTTGGGGGATAAGGCTTGGATGATGATGAATCCAATACTTCTCTCCTCTCTACCACTAAGTAAAGATTTTTTTTTTCTTATACCGATGATTTAATTAATTAAATAATTCGTCATCTCTAGAGCTAGCATTTAATAAATTATACAGTTATTATGGTCCTCTGTGTCTTATTTTCTTTTCCATAGCTAATGGGGCCAAAACAGTATTATGTATTAATAAGAAAATATCTGTCATATATGTCCAGGAATGGTACTAGTATCATTGGTCGTACATTAAAGAATATTAACATGTATATGCTCAATAAAGACATGGAAAATAAAGAAGCCTGCCATGAAGGGAGAATGATAGCTCTACACACATTCACCACACCATGCAGGAATTATATGAAATTTCTGATAATGAATACATGGTTTCATGGTCATTGGCCTATAAACTGTTCATCTCAATCAAAAGAAAAGATTTATTGATGATCATATTCCAATAAATCTCCAAGTACACCAGGGCTATCAATAATCTGGCTCAACCCAAAAGACCCAAACTGACCTCAACCTGTTACAGAAGGTCCGGATGCATCTTGAGATCCAATTATTAATAGAGTCAGTTCAGAGTCTGCATTTTGAGTTTCCCTAATAAATAGGTTTGGGGACTATGCATGGATTATGCCAACCGGTCAGGTTCATTATAGCTATTAGCTAGGCTTTGCTCATTCCAAACCAGCATTAGAAGACACCCGGCCCAACCCAGCCCAATCTAATTAAATAAAATTGAATTCCAAAACTGACCCATCTGCATAGGGTTACAACTGATTCTGACCTGACTGATCAACCCGTGAACAGTACCTTTGTTCTTTTTCCTTCTTTCTTTCTTTCTATTTTCTTTTTTTTTCCAGGGAGTAACCTTTTATTCTTAGTACTTGAGGTTTCTTTTAGAGAGAGAACAACATCACCAAAATATCTAACCCAACAACATCTTATGGAAAAAGAAAGAAAACTATTATCACTTTGGTGTTGTTTGATAAACCGAGCACAGAGAATTTTATGATTTGCTACAACATGAACGATTTGTTGCTGAATTTGCATATAAACAAACAACTATTAAAAAAAATAAATAAATAAATAAAAGATGGCATCACTTACTTGAGACTATTGCTGGTGATGGTCTTCTGATGCTCTTTTCAAAGATGCACGCCCTAGGGTTTGTAGAGAGACTTGAGGGACGGAGAGGTAGAAACGTGTCGGAGAAAATATGAGAGCATGGAATGGATTTAGGGTATTACTGGGATTTTGGAAATTCTAAATGGACAAAACTGTATAGTTGTTATGGGCCTTATGGATCAATTTGTAAAAAAAAAGTATAAATACAAAAATATAAATATGTAAAGTGCAAATACAGATTTAAAAATATAAAACTGCAAATACAGGTCCATATTTGTATTTATACTCTTTCCAAATTAAGGCTGCGTTTGGAAACAATACAAATATGTAGAGTATAAAACGGTTCATATAAATTGCAAAATTGGGTTAGTTTTTCATTGACAAATTTACCTTCTTACTAAACAGACTTTTAGCTATAATGGATGTAAACACGAATTCCAAAAAAGCATATGCGTTTTTTTATCAAAAGCCCACTTGCATGCAAATTTACTTCTTTTTTATTGATGTACTTTTACATCTTATTATCAATGTAAATATGCATTGGTCTGTCATTTGTCAATGCAAAAATGTAATGTTGCCAAACACAGGCTAAAGTGAACCGGAGCATAAATTTACCCTGAACCGGGATTTACACTCCATTTGCATCATTTCCAAATGCAGCCTAAGGCTCAATTTGAGAAGAATGCAAATACAAATATGCTCCACATAAAACCTTGTATACCGTATTTGTATTTGTTTTTGCACTCTTCCTAACCGAGTCTAATTAAAGAATCTCTAAACTTCCCGTATTAACCTTTTAGCAACCAAGTGAAAGGCCTGTCACATGGGAAATATTCATATAAACTCAACACCCAATTAAAATTAATTCATACCCAAGGGTGGATCAAGGGTAGGGGTGATCATGGGTCAGGCCGGGCCAGGCTTTGCCTTCATAACAACAAGCTTAGGCTAGGCCCGACCCAGCCCAGCCCGCATGGTCATTAGTATGCTAAAAATGATAATTTTAACAAACCAATTCTTCTATCAATAAAAAATCAACCTAGAACATATAATATATATCAAAAAATAACCATCCATTGTCATGTAATATCTGCAAAACAACTTTAAACATCTCTATAAGGGGCTCCCTCTTCCATTCAACTCTTACAAATAAAAAGTGAAATAAAAAAGATATTAGCAAACTAAGAAAAAATAGTTCAAATTAATGTAAATAAATAAATAATAAAATATTGAAAATGGTTTTAATTTTACCCAAAACTTGCAACCACTCTAAACTTCAGATTTATCTTCACCAATGGAGTCTTCATCACTAGAAGATTCGTCTTTGTGTGTGAGAGAGAGAGGGAGAGAGAGAGAGAGATTGGGCACGGCGGTGGTTTTGTGAAATTGGTGAGAGAGAAAGAGCCGAAAAGATTAGGGTTTAGTAATTTCTATATTTCATTAAATACTATATTAGAATTTGGGAAGACCTAAGACCGTAGGATTAAATTCTTTAATCTCCTACAAATCTCTATTGATCTCTATTTAATATATAAAACATCAATTATCAAA